GTAGAGATACCTACAAACTTCCATTAATCTGTCCACTATTTTAAACTGGTCACATAACTTGACCAATAATCAAACAAAATATAGAAATAAAAATACGAACAAGTGCATACTAAGTCAAATCATAGAACCACATACTATACAACAATATTTACAGATTACATCCCCATTGAAACTCGTTTGTAATGTGTAAACAACCTTATATGATCAGAAAATCAATCAACAATGCATTACCTCTCCATTGTCCACTACTAGCTTTGAATCAATCCTCACTCAAGTTATACTCTTAACAATGAATTCACTTAGAATATACTGACTAATTTCCCTCATTCTTTCATATGTGAGCAGGATTACTGTAAAATCAATACAAAATATACTCACATACGATTATAACCAATGAACACTATCAAAGAAAGGAATTAGCATAATTTCATGATAAAAATTCAACACATAATACACAAAACAGTTATTGTCATCCTCCTCATTCACACAAGTCATGCATCACTGACAACTCCTGAGATTAATTAGGTATTTTTAAGGTTTTAATGTGGCCTTGGGTAATGAGGTTAAGAAACGAAGGGAAATAATAGTTCAAAACATTACCCTGGGAAAACTTGTATCCCCTTATTTCTTGACATAATTTTCAAAGCCTTCCTTAAAAACATGATTTCATTTTTTTTAACACCTGCTCATAGATATATTTTATCTCTTTTTTTTTTCTTGTTTCCTTTTTGTATTCTCATTACCGTTCATCATTTCTTTTTCTTTTTCTTTTTTCAGCAAGCATCTATACAATTTTTTTTAGTAAGTCAAAACACTGTCAATCTCACCAGTGTACCAACTATTCATCTTTTCTTTTTCAATTAGTCCCAACCACATAATCCCTTACATATACATGATACATCTCAATCCCTTACATGATAACCAAGGATAGATGATATTTCATTTCATACTAAGCTTGGTAATTATATATGGGCTAACAATTGAATTCTCATCAAAAAGGCTCAATCACAACTTCTAAGGATAATAAATTTACCAAAAATAAGGCTAAGGCTCAAATAATAACACACATGGCCTAAAATAATATCTCAAAAGTTTCTTAGTAACACAATCCCTATGCTAACAATTCATTACCAAGCAGTCATTCAAGATATTAGCTTTGATCAAAATAATCATAATGAAACTATTTAAGAAATAAAACTGAATTAAATTTTCTTATTGAATAATTGTAAATGTCACTCCAAAAAATGAATAGCTCTAATCTCACAAAGGAATTCATCCTATTCTCCAATATATTTGTCAAATTTTAAAGTAAATCATCATTTTCTAACTTCTACTACAAGCAAGGTCAAACGTGTACTGATATTTTAAATTTTAATTGGGAATAAAATCTATAATACTAAATGGTAGTCTTGAGTTCTATGACATGAGTCTTTGGTCCAATGGTATTCCTTACCTTGTGAATGTTTTACCTTCTTGAGGTCAAGGGTTCAAGTCCCCCTTCCTCCCCCTCCCACTCCCACTCCCAAAAAAAATAATTAATCTCATTATACGCACATAATTCAAAATAATTTGGCAGATTAATACGTACAATGAAACCACATCATATATCAGTCAAATGGATTTTCATTACAAACTCTAAAACAAAACAAACTAAGTCAAGCCCCGACTCAACTAAATACAACTGGGGGATTTGACCTAACTAGACATTAAAAAGATAATCAAAATGGTAAACACATAGAACATAGATCATCTAAGTGGAAGAACCAGCTCCATCTCGTGGTCCAAGCTGCAGGCGGCGCAAGATCTCGCCATGCTCTGCTAGAGTACCCCTCATCTGTCTTTGTTCCTCCAGAATATAGAGGAGCATAGATCTCTATCAAATCATCCATCTACAGGGTCTTTCATCAGTGGATCTACTTTCTCCGCAACAACCTCTCCAACATCAGTAGGCTCATCCGCCTCCACCTCTTTAATAGGCTCATCAGCATCAGGAATTGGAGCTACGCCTTTGCCCATAGCTCCACGGCTCTTAACCAAAGCCATATTATCTAACACTCTAGGGTGTTTCTCCTTCAACATGTCCTCAATCACTCCAATGCCACTATCCATGGAAATAGAAGTCACCAAATACCCAAAGGGAAAGGATGCATTCCTGGTATTGTTCTGCAAAGCTCACTGCATCTTTGATATAATAATAGAAGACAAACAGATAGTACGTCCATATCTGATGGCATACAGTAGCTTAGCCCTATCTAGATAGATTTGATTCTTTTGGGCTAAAGGAAGCATGCTAGTCACCGAGATCCAATTTAGGATCTTGTACTTGTTTGTCAACTGCCACTAGTTCAACTTCCTATCTCTCTAAAGCCAAAAAATGGGGATCCCATGTGAGCTCCTTAGCCATTTTTTGTATATTGTACACTATAGCAAAATATGTGATGTGTTTTTGGTAAAACATTCACCTTGGCCACCCTAAACATTACCATAGAGTTCACTACAAAACTCACTCCTCTGACTATATTCCTAAATCTTTTAGGATCTATCCATTTCGCATTCATGTAGAACTCGCGAATGAAAGGAGTAGCTCCCTCACCCAATCTCTTCAAAAAGTCACTCCAACCTCTAGACACCATTATTTCCTCAATACCATAACCCAAGAAATCCGCCCAAACTATACACCGCTCCATCACAATAGGGTGAGCAAAGAAAAAATGAATAAATTGTAGCTTGGTCATGATACTATCAAGTTGAAAATTCAAAAAGTGTCATTAAAGGGAAGAGATCAAACATTAAAGTAACATCATTCAACCTTCGTATACATTTTCATGCTTAAGACAAAGATAGAGACCTAGACACATAAAATGGACCCTTAGTTACATTTAACTTAGGATGATTAGGATAAAAAAAAATTGGAAGCAATTCATGTATGGATCTTAGGTGATTTCAAAATAAAAGATTTTTTAAACAATTGTGTTTTTGAAAACATATATTGACCTATTGTTGGACCCTTTTTTAGCAACACCTTTTAGTTCTCAAGATGACTAATTTTTGTTTGATTTTGTGCTTCAAAAATCAGTAGGAATCGAGTTATGCTCACCATCCTTGGTTAGAGCAGTCTCACAATAACTTAGAAAATTAGACAGGAAAATGCCATGGAGGAACAGAGCAAAGCTTGCTTGAGATGTCCTTCATGGTCGCTCGAGCAGTGCTGCTGCTGGACAAGATGAAAATGTGATTTTCATTACAATGCCAACCGTCCTATGACCACCCTCCCATCGATCGAGCAGTCATTCGCGAATAAGAGTTTTCTTTTTTATTAAGACTACCCTTATTCTGGACCTATAAACAGGGAGTGTCATTTCCACAATCAAGTTAAGTCTCTTGTGAGACTTCTAAGAGAGAAAATACTTCTTCTACCTTGAGAGCTTTCATCACTAACCTAGATACCTAAATTCAAAGGCAACCATTAGAGATTCTACCCAACCTAAAAACTTGGCATTCAATATCTTGATGGTGTAAACCAAACCCATTTGTATGTTCATATCGGGTTCTAGACAAACCATGTGGTGGGGATGTCTAAGTGAAGCTAAACTAGATGTTGAAGGACGGCCTTTAATGAAGAGGCAACAAGGAAAATAGCATCTAACCATGATATTGGTTGAGGTATAAGACTCGAATACTTGTATGTTGACTTAGCGTGTAGTAGATCAGACTTTGGTGAACTGAGAATCTTCCCCACAGTTTTTTTCGAAGAGGATTTTCTGCGTTGACAAATCATTTATGTTAACACACACTATGTATTTATTGACTTGATTGATTGACTTTCTATTCAACCATAGTTGTGCAATTTGAGTTTGGATTTTTGGGATCACCGTGAAATTGATTGTTAGTGAATTAATTGAAGATTAATTAAAATCAATTGTCATGGTTAACTTGGGTTGTGGTGATTAAAACGATTCTCACTATTCATTGACAAATTTTTGTGAGAAGAGATAATTGAAGTCAATTAGGTTTTTATTAGTAATCAATTGAGCGTTAAATTAAAAAACATATTTACCTCCCTCTAGGTAAAATGTCTATAGCTCCACATGTATAATTGTGGGAGAAGATCCACATCAAGTTTCCCCTCCCAAAACAACATATTTGATTGTTTGAACATTCATATCATACACAATGATTTGGTCGATTGCTTGTTGCATTGAGTTGGATCACCGTGAAAGATTGAGTGTTAATTATAAAATAAACAAGTTTAGGGTTGTTCTTTAGTAAAAAGGGTTTTCAATTTTAATTGATTAATTGATTTTTGAGAAGAGGTAATTGTGGTACAATTAGGTTAAAAAATTTTATTTGTTTGAGCAAATTAAAATAACGTATTTACCCCCCCCCCCCCTCCCCACCTTCTTATGTAGTATTTTAATCCCACATGTGTTATTATAAGGGACGATCCATTCCGCACAAGGGTAACACTTATCCTTACAATACTAAACCCCAAGCTAAATATTAGACACTCTAAGTTGCTTTTTATGTCTTCATTAACAATATAAGCAAATTCTCGACAAATTCAATTCAAATCTATATGGCTCTAACGTATCAAAAGACTATTAGATTTTAGAAAAATTAACAAATAAAATAATTTTCAAGTTACACAAAGTAATTGATAATAATAAATTGAAAAATATACTTTAGAGTTTTGTTACATATGGTACGCTACAAAACATTTTGAAAGAAATTAGTATCGCATTAGTGTAGGGTCCTAAAATAAAATTGAACTTAAGCCAGCCTAAAACATTTGCTATCAATTTTTAGGGCCTTAAAAAACCGAATTTGGTTTGATTGAACATGAGCATACAAATATTATTTGAAGCTTTGAAAATTAAATTGGGTTTAAATGAATTTGAGTCCAAATTTTTTTTGGGGTACTTCATTTGGGACCCTAAAAATAAAATCGAACTTAAATAAACATCAATCCAAAAATTTTATTTAGTCCCGTCCCACCCATTCGACATTTGATCACATCCTCCTGCAAGTTTCAACGCTAATTGTAATTTGAGCCTTCCTACTTTAGTATGTAATCGGTACATCAGAATACAAAAACTAGAAGGTGATGAGTCAAGTGTACTAACACAACAATGTCAAAATATGGAAAACAGGATCGCCCCTATTGGCTAGTCTTGTTCACTCAACCCTAATATATCCAACAGATCCCACCATGTGTATGGGAAGCCATATTCCTCGTCTTTCCTGCAGGTAGAGAAACAGCATACCTGAAATCTAATTTTTTGCTTACTTGGTGTTTCCAATGATGCTTCAAACTATGCAACGAGTCTGCATAGATGTTCCATCAATTTAACAAGAAGACAGTCATACTGTGCATTAGTAGTGAACCCAACAATTTGGTAAGTCAGTCTATCTCAAGAACAGCATGAGCTGCACAACCAGCATGGCCAACAAGAAAACCACCTGGTTTGAACCACTTCTGGGGTTGCTGCAGGGGTTTTTGGCTCTGGCTGCGCCGATGGATGTAGCTGAGGCTGCAACAATGACTTTGACAGCTGCTGTGACAGGGGCGGTTGTTTTTGTGGGCCTATTCTCACAGAATTGCCTTTCATTGAATTACCACTAGCTACATCTGTTGCCAATCTTCAATTTTCAAAAATATTTCAGTTATTTTACCAATCAGACACATAAATGTACACATAAAAAAACACTGGTGTATAATATTGGAGATGCTCAGGTTATCCTGATTTTACCAGGTTTACCAATATTTTGTTGCTTTCAGCATTTCGCTCCATTTTGCTGATATTTATCAGATGGTCTAAACTATTTTTCAGAAGTCAAGCAAACTTAATAAAGCACCAATTGATTAATCGGATGCCATAGGAGAGGTAAATCAGATAAGGAGAGTTATTATTCTGCATCTAGAACAGAGGGAAGTGGTGTTGACTTATGGACATTATTTTGTAGGCATGAAATTTTAATCTATGATATTTTGACATTTTATCAACGGAGACAATTAGTTTGGTAATAGCATCAGTCTCCACAAATGGTGACGTTAAATGCGAAGTCCTTTTTTTCAGGCTTCTACGCTTAATTCCTTTGTGTACCAAATGACAATACTGCTAGCAAAGTCCATCAGTTTCAGGTTCTAGTTCTCTTATAATAAAAGCTAACATATCCTTAGCCAAATCACGATCCCTTACAAGAATGTCATTCCATTTAGTATAAAAAAAAATGGATGTTTGGATACGAAAACCAAGTTTGACTAGCTTTGAACCCCAAACGTGGCACATAAGATGCATGTGACCAGGATGACACTTCAACAAAGAAATTATTAAGTAGATGTATTCGGTGGGAGTTCGTATTTGAAATGTTGCTTCATTTGTTGGTGATGTTATGCTGCAACTACATGGGAGATGATGGAACGTCTCTCTCCCTCTCTCCCACAATATACACACATTAGCTTGAAGAAGAGATGAAAATCCAAGGTCCATATTTACAAGAAAAACACCATCAGCTATCAAATGTTCACTGCACTATGACAAACTTAATTACAGGATTCAAAGTCTTTACTTGCAAGGAAAAAAACGATAAAGCTCTTCAAAAGTATGCTTTATCATTTTTAAGGGATATTTTCATATCTACCATGTGAATATATGTCACATTCTGAGTACACATCAAAATAGATAATAACCATGCTTATGACATGTTACACATGCACCCACCCACCCAGCATTTGTGTTATTTGTATGCAAAGTATGCAGATATTCCAAAACTACTTATACCTTAATGGTTTATACATAAATGTAACAGATGATAAGCATGCAATTTTTTCTGTTTTTCTAAATTATAGAAGTTGGAAAGGTTAGAATATCATAGCTTACATTGGAAATGCAAAAGATTTGGTACTTGTGCTACTCTCCTCAGAACGACGTGAAATGCGCCCCTCAGTAAGAAATCTTTTATTGTTTTGATCCTCTGAACTTTCCATCAACACCTCCTTCATAGTCTCAACAGCTTCCTCTGCTACACCTATCTCGCAACTTTTACCAGAGTTGGTTGATTTTCCCACCAGGGACTGGTTGGTAGGGAAGTTGAACAATGAGCCAGATGTAGAAGCTTCTCCAGGCGTGCCCAGCTCTCCAGATCTCCAGAAAAAATGATCTTTGGTAAAACTCATATTCCCCATGTGAATGCTGAACAACGATTCATTGGAAGCTACACTCCATTCCACTGGGCTTGTAGACTTTGTTCTGGCAAACACCGAAGACGGAATCCTATATAAAGAAGAGTTACTAGGATGCTCCATCACCTGAGTAGGAGGGCACTCTGTTGTTGACTTGGTGTCTGAACTTGCTTTAGGAGTATGACTTGTAGCTGCCACTGGTAATGCGGAGGCTGCCAAGTCATAATTTGCTTGTTCATGTTTGGTTATAGAACTCCCATACGCATCCCTTTCACCATAGTCAAAAGCTAATTGAGCATCCTTGTCAAGCTTAGGCGTGGCAGTAGTGCTTATGGACATATCTTGTTCATCATCTTCTTGGAAAGGATCTTCCAACGTAGACTCAGGAGATGAAGAAAATGAGGAGAAAGATGAACTTAATTTTGAAGGAAAACTTATCCTCAAATTACCATTAGTTGTGATCTTATGCTCAGATTCTGTACCTGGAGATGTCTGATCTGATTCAGCATTCGCAGTTCCCATATCTAGTCAAATTACTGGCATTTCTGCTGGGAAGTAAAAAATAGAAAACATGACTTCACAATCCCATCATAGATTTGCATTTACAGATTAAAATCCTATAAACCACATAGTTGGAAAATAGTGCTTGAACTTTCAATTGCAATGGGAGAGAACGAAACAGACACATATGTCTTCACATTGTGGCTAGACTAGCAGTATAAGAATAGATGGTGCTGTTTAATAAGTGGAAGGTAACATTAAGTTTCAGGGATCTTGCTTAAAATAAAAAGTCAAACTTAAAGATCATTCAATGATTATTTCCAAAAGTAACAAATGTTGTGTCCTGATACATAAGCAATACATTTTCTATGCATGCATGCCTACTATACATGCACTAATTTGGGAGAGGAAAGCAATTCCACACAAAATATGCTTGCAAAAAAGCCTAATTTTTTTTACTTTTAGAAAAGTAGCTTTGCTGTTTCACTTTTAACTTTTTTTTGGGTGCAACCCAAACTATACTTTTTTGGAATCAAAAATTGAAGGAAAAACATGACAAAAGGTTCAACAACTTTCAGCTGCCGATGAAGGAGTTTTACAACCTTGCTATAAATACTAAATATTCATCAGAGTTCCACTGGACCAGCACTCCAAGTGCAATCTACAGCTTACAAGCCAATGGTTATCTCGTTTTGCTTTGGTTACAAAGGGCATGGAAAACAATGTCAAAGACCAAGCATAAGTGATAATCCTAACAGATTATATCCGAACAGTGATAATCCATACCCTTTCCATCCACTAGAGAGATGCTCGCAAGCTACGAAAGTGGAACAGAGATATCAGAGCAAAATGGGGAGAGGGGGAGAGGGGCTGAGCTCTAACCAAAGTAGGGAGCAAACTAAAAAGAAGTACCAATTACATCCCAAAGTAGTATTTTAACAATGAATATAACACTTCAAAATACTTAAAATATCGCGGATCACTTAAATTATTATGGACCTAACAAGAGGATCAAAACAATTTCCATTCTACCCCTTAGATTTAACTTGTATGACAATATTTCGAATACCAAACCATATAACATTCCAAATAATTCACAATAACAAATCATGAATCTTGAATCCTGAATCCAGAATCCTGAGTCAACTGCAGTCCCATCATTCAAAAACTTTTATACCCATCTCCTCACTTTTATATCCCTCTGATCCCTTGTACGCAGATTGAGTTCAATTATTGCCTTATATCAATGTCAAACTCCAGCACCTATTATGTTCCAGCTTAAGTCTAAAGCAGAGGTTCAGAGGTTGAGCTTAATAATGGTTCACTATAGTTAGGTCAGATGTTGCATTAATGATATATGGACCAATGTTGATGAAATACTAACTCATGTCAATTCTAGGATATGTTTCGCACATATAATTCTTGAATTATTGCTTCGGATTTATTACACACCTCTCGACTTCATAAATTTTGATTGAGAGAAAGGATCATCAGATATTAAAGGCTCGCCACATCTAGGCCTTAAATCTTCCTCCATACAAGCTGTCAATTTGAAACGTGGACCTCGAGGCCCAATGAGTTTCATCTGCTCATGACATATAGATAATACATCATCATAATGAGAAAATGGAAATTTATCTAGTCTGGTCTCGTTAATCGAGTTTGCTCAACGAGTAGACTAGTTACAGACCTAATCTCAATATGGCTGCGCTCCTATTCGAACCCACAACAGGTTGTCAGACCAACACTATGCCCAATATTCCAGTCAGTGGCCCAATGTCAAATCATTACCACTACCATTTCTATTAAACTTAGTAGTCTAAGCAAGACAACATATGAAATCTTTCAAAGCTATTGATTTTCTACGATATAACCAGCCGTGAATTGAAACAGAGAAATGAATAGCAGAATATAGTTGAATTGGCTACCATATACACACCCATTAACTAAGAGTTCCGAAGAGAAATTGTCGATCAGGTTGCTGATGTCAAGTCGCCAGAAATGGGCCTGACAATCAGCAGTCCCCTCTTCACCCCCGCGATAATCTGTTTTAGAATAGGGAATGAGGTAAACTACAACAATAGGAATTTGAGAGAGACAGAGAGAGAGGAAACTCGAAGGTTTTCCTGAGAGAAGTCAAAGAGTCAGAGAGAGCGGGAAGGATTGAAGGTCTAACGAAGGTCTAGGCGTTTCTCTCTCTCCATCTCTCTTTCCCAATTGGACTGATCTCGACTTGTAACTCGCACAATTAAATCAAAATTTACGCCCCCAAAATTTAAAAATTATACAGTAAAATTAATGATTAAAATTATCGAGCGTAATTTTTAAATCTATTTTTTAAGTTTATTTAACATTACTTAAATTTAAAATATGTATATTCGTATCAATATGCACTTCGGCCAACTCTGTCATTTTTTCGTTAAAAAAGTTTTGATTAATTAAAAATTATACCCTCTAAGTTTAAATATTTTATATTTATAATTCAAAAAAAAATTCATTCATTAACGCTCGTTAAATAATTCTCAATTGTATCATACCATAACATATTTATACATATTCAAGTCAATAAAAAATATTTTTCAAAATTTTAAAAAAATTATAAAACACTTATTTCTTGTCTACGATACTCATTAAATAACTATTTTCATTCTATAATTAAATACAAATCTTTTAATTATCCGATCAAATTAAAATAAAATATGAATAACACAACAAAAAATAGTTATTTAACAAGTATTATTGACAAAAAAAATTAGTATTTTTTAATTTTTAAAAAATATTAAATATTATTATATGAATAGTTGTAAATATAAAATATAAGACACAATGCAGTTGACTCAATAAGAAAATATTTTTTATTAAAAATATATTTTTATTGACTCGAACACGACATGAAAATGTTATAATACGATACAATTGAGAATAATTTAATTAGCATTAATGGATAGAATTATTTTTGGACCACAAATGTGAAATATTTAATTTTGAGGGGTATAATTTATAATTAATCTAAACTTTTTTAACTGGTAATTAGTCTCAAAGGCACGTTAATATATATTTATATCTTTCAGAGTATAAATTAATATTTATAAAATTTGAGAATATAAATTAAAATTTGAATAATCTTTTATGGTAAAAACTAAGATTAGCACTTCCCAATTTTAACTAACTCTCATCGCGGTGCGCGCCTTAGCCAATTTTCCATTCTGAGCATAAAGGTGAATTTGTTATTTACCGGACTAGAAACGATTTTAAATTTCTATTCCCATTTTATTTCTAGCCGACAACGGCCCCCACATTTCATATTCATGTATTGTACCACCGTAGTTTAGTTGAGTTGGTAAAAGGTGAAATTCTCGTCTTTCTTATGTGTTTAAATTTTTTTTGGTGCAGTAGTCTATATAAACTAACTATTGTTAGAGCGGTTGAATGTATAATTTATTCTCAATGGTGTTGCGACGATGAACTTGACTATCACAGATTAATAGCTATAATTAAAATTGAACATTCTACAACAGTTGAAACCTCAAGGTAACGTTGTGAGGAGGCGCCCCTGCCAATCCTTCTAAAAAAAAAAGTAAAATTGATATTTTGTCTTGTGAAATTTTTGTTTAGATGAAATACAAAAATGGTCCCAAAATATGTGTTTTATTTTATTTTGATTTTCATACTATCACTTGTATTGTTTTAGTGCTTCATATTATTAATTTAACTTTCTATGATTTAATTAAATTGGTAATTGATATTGGACAAATTGGCTCAAGGTGAAAAGACCATTTAGTCCAAGTCCAACTCAGCTTGTGATAAGTTTTAATTTGAATATGATTCTGCATATGAGATAAATCCAACTACATGGATAATGAAGAAATGCAGTATATAAAGATAAGGGTCTAATCTTTATCTAAGAATGTTCAAATTTTCAATTACCTACGTATGCCGATCCTATCTAACCTTATTGATTGACTACCACAAAAATTAGGTAGGCCAACAAAAGAACTTTTGATATTTCGCAAAAATCAGATAGAAATACAGAATATCCATAAAAATTTTGTATTCTTACTCAACCCTACCAGCATATATATATGTAGTTATACTACTAATAAAAGGAAGTTAAGTGAAAAAATTTTGATTACCAATTATGTCCCGATAAAAAATGTTAAAGGCACCTATGTCCTTATTTCTTTAGTTACCTAATATTAATTATATATTCAAATGACTCTTCATATACTTCTATTTTCACAAGAATTATTATTCCATGTATTGCACTTTTTTTTTTATTTTCTAATTATCTAATAATAATTATATATTCAAATGACTCTTGATATACTTCCATTTTCACAATAATTATTGTTCCATATATTATACTTTTTTTATTTATTTCCTGAGTTAATGACGGTATCTCCCTTTCATTTACTTCTCATAAACTTTTTTGTTTACAATAAATCTATTAATCATCTTTACTTTATGAAAAAAAAAATAAGACTATCATTAATACAACTATTATGCCATCAATAACCATCATAAAGTTCATTTTATTATTTATGTAATTTGAACAGATGTGTAGCTTTGCAAACGGTATAAATTCCTAGAAATAAATATATTAATTAATCAAATGGAATTTGAATCATTTCATTTTCCATTTTATAGTTACATGGATAGCTAATAGTCAAATATTCAATCCCATAAATTTCAATCATAAAGTAACAGTAATACTATTCTATTCATCTCTCATTCTCTCATACTCACGTTTTTTATCTGGTTGTAGGTTATTGCTCTTTTCATATTATTTATGTTTTGTTTGGAGCTAGGCTTACACTAATATCTAAAAAAATTTCTTCTTTATTTGTTAAGTATTTTTTATTCATGAACAAGCGTGATCAATTGTGGAAGGTCACTGTGAAAATGGCATCTTGAGATTTATTTACTCTAAATCATATACCTTCTTTGTGTTTAATTTCCATGGTAATAGATTTATTTTTTGTTTAGTACTGAAACTCATTTTATATATTTAGCATTATATCTCGTGTGTAGAAAAAATTACATGATTCTTCTCATGCGTTGAATAATTGAAACAAGATCTTTCATCATGTAGATCATGGTTCGACTTGATTTTTTTAATTGCTCTAGGACATAAGGTATCAAATACTAATTTTTGACAATATACATTTTACCATTTGAATGTGTTAAAAAAAATTAGTATGTTCATTATACATTTTTGTAGATAATTATTTTTCTAGGATGTTCATGAAGTATAGATGACATTTCTTTTGAAGTGTAATTTAATATTTGTCTTTCAGTAAATAATTAAGCAATTAGTGTTCATCAGTTATTTGTTTTTGTCATCGAAAATATGATAGTGAATTTTGAGATAGACCGTCTCAAGCTTAACATAATATAAGCATCCATTTGTTTATTATCCTTTTAGAAATGACGGATATTAAATTTGGAGTAAACTATTGAAACTCTAATTTGACATGGTAATATGTGGTTAAATTTGTCCATTACTTAAGTTTCACTAGATACTACACAAAATGTTTAAGCAAAGTTTATTTGTACAGTTGACGTTATTTTATAATTGTTATAGTAATAATATATTTGATAGTGAAAATGATCCACGTGTAATGCACTTGTATACAAAAAAAAAATTAATTTACTTATATATATCCATATATCTATACTACTAATAAAAGTACTCTAGCATAAAAAAAAAATTAATTTATTGTTTTACCCTTATAAAGAATTTTAAATACCACATTATCTTTTAATAGTTAAATAACTAAATTATCATCATATCTTTTGTGTTTAAATCTCAAAATTACTCTTAACATCTCTTTTAATTCTCTATTCTTTACGTGTAAATATAACAACTATGAAACTTTTTAATTGACTATGTTACCCTTAAAAATAAGCACTGATTAAAATATTGACAATTATTATTTTTTTATTTAATGAATTATAAATTGAAATCTAATCAGACGAATTTCAAAATGAGTTATTTTTATATTTTTTTCTAATAGTTAGAACAACAAATCGTTAGGAACAGACAGAATTTTTCAAATTCTATTATATAATATGAGCGATAAAAACATAATTTTTATAAATTAAGATGATATTTAATTTAGGTACACATATTACCTAAAAAAATTTATTAAATTTTATATACGAAAATTATTCACGTACAACGCATGTGGCGCATTGTTAGTATACATATGTATGTATGTATGTGTGTGTGTATATATGACTTTTTTGGTTTATGGCTTTCTTATTGTATTTTATTGTAATTGTTTATGTATTATCAAATTTATTGTATTTTTTTTATTGTTATTAGTTTATTGTGTTCGTTAATTGATATATGTTACTTAATTGAATTGTTAAAATGATCTAAAAATTAATAATTAAAAATATGTGTTCACCCTATATTCTACAAATTTTCTACCCGATTGTTTTGGACGGAATTCAGGTAAGAATAGTACAATTGATCGGATAGGGTCAACCAAGAAAAAATTATTCTACAAAGTATCAAGTAGGAAGATGAAATATCATAATTTCTACCCATAGTATAGGGTGAGCACCCCTATGTTTATTTTTCTATGATTGACCCAATCTTGAATGCTTATCGCTTCAGAAATCAAATTGTCAGAGCTCTCATTCGGTCTCCGACTTCTCTTTCAGGTGCTCAAAACCCAACGAGTTGACGTGGAGTTTGCCCAAATTTTGGCATCATCAATTGACGCAATCTATGAAAAATGTCCATATACATTTTTCGAAACAATTAATGACTAGTCATAGAGCTCCGCCCAATCCTTAGAGCCACCCACATATCTTACCATCTACTCAAATCATGGAGTCCAGTATCATGATCTCTCTGGGAGATTCATACCAGTGTATTTCCGCTATTAAAGTTCTCGGCCTAATGTTAAACACTCGAGCTAATAGTCATGATCATCGGATTTCTTCATTATTGAGACTTTCGTCTTTTATTCAATTGTAGAACAACTTGAATGGTTCTGCACTCAACTATATTTATCGTTTGATTATGGGTGAAATAATCAAAGAGCTCCTACATAACTCTCTTGATACTCGGCATGAGATTGAGCAACTATGGGAGACACTTTCCGTCCCTCTTTCTATAAATGTCTACTTGATTTCAAAAGGTACACCCAAGTACAAG